TAAGCAGAAATGTTGGGGAAAAATCAGGGGAGATGATAGAAGGGAAAGTAGTAGAGTAGAGGAAAAAAGATCACAGGATGGCAGTAAGGTTGGTTCTTCTGATTCAAGACAAGTCTTGGGCATATTCCATGATCAAAAAACTGTGGTCTGTTTGTTTTGAGCACTAATCGGATGCTGGTTTTCTAGCATGTCCCCTCAACAAAAGCTGGTCCTTACACTGGCTTCTGTCGGAAGGAGAAGTTCTACAAAATCAGAAAGGCATTTGACCATCATTTTCCAGGAGCATCTTCTAGTTCACATTGGTGGATTTCATTGTTGCCAGTGTAATCAGAGTGTGGTTATGTAACACAGAATGCACAATCCAAACGCATGCGTTCCTGCGTTAAAAATGGCTGTGTGTATAAGTGGGTGCTACAGCAACCGTCGGCTGGAACCAAATAAAATCAGCAAGGGAGAATGTCAACAGCACACCGAGGATCACCAATATGGGTCCAAAAGTTTTAATGAACGAGCACATAGTTACATCAAGGCAACGTTTCGGAGTCTTACAGGACCCTTTCATCAGGCATGTGACCTATATACACTTCAATCATGAGGAATCCTCCTAACCAAAGTTCATCTGCTATCCAAAAAGCACAAATAAGATGTATTAATATTAAGGCTCCTCGCTTGTGTTTAGGGTATGGATCCAATAAGCTTCACGATGGAGGAGGAAGTTGTCACGATATCCTCCTCTTCCCAATCGACTGACGTGTGCGATGGTCATGCCCCTCAATTCATGTACCTGGTGTCCTGCCGAAATAAAATGGACTGCTACGGGTTTGTTCAAATCAATAGGTTCAACTTTGATACTCTTGACTAGAGCTGTTCTAATATCACTCCTGTGTTTCTGAAACCTATGCTTAAAGGGACCTTTTTGTTTTGCCCACATAAACTAGTGAGCAGGGGCATTTCTGAATATAAACGCAGTAATCAGTCTTACAGTTCAGGTAACCCTGTATCTGGTAATGTTTCCTACTGTGGGGATGTATGAAATATTCCCCACAGATCAATGAGTTGCATACATTACAATTGTAACACTTGTAACAACCCTGTCTTTTTGAGAACTTGAACACTGCCTTAGCGTACTTTGTCCTAGGGTCCGCTTGAACTAATAAGTCACGTAGGAATCTACCTCACTTATGTACCATTAATGGTGGGTTCTTTTAGACTGGTTCTACAAATTTTACATACATGGCCTCAAATTGTTCTGTCCTGTCATTCATACAGGAGCAAATGCGTAACACCTTCTTGAACTGTGAAATAGGCAGGTTATCACGGAGATGCTTGGTAATGTAGAAAAGTGTTCCTGTCTGTTAGTTTTGAGAGCACAGATGTCTGGTGTGTACCCTAGTTATTAGTCATCCTCACATCAAGATATGGAATTTTGTTGGATATCTCGGGGTTGAAAATGATACAGGGAAAGATGCTTTAAGCTGATCAACAAACTCATAAAAAAATAGATGTTTTTCCTTCTCAATAAGGGAGATATCAATATATCTCAGCCAGCATTTGACATGATCAATGAAGGCATGGAATAAATGTTGTGCTGTCCTATATACCCAACAAACAAATTTGCAAAGGAAGGGGCAGCAGAACTGCCCATGGCAGTGCCACATATTTGAGCATAGATGGTCCCCTCAAATGCAAAAAAATTGCTTTCAAGTAGTACAAAACGTAAACAATCAATAAGGTATTCACACGGGAAAATCTGGGCCTTCAATCTGGACCAGCAATGTTTAACCGCCACCAAACCTGCTTCATTAGGTATGTTTGTATACAAGTACGAAATGTCCATTGTTGCTAATCTCCAATTTACATTGAATGCTGAGAATCCCCCAAGTTTATCCCCTGTGTCACATTCCTGATGAAGGGGTTCTGCGAGACTCCAAAAACGCCTTGCTGTAAGTATGTGATCGTTCATTAAAACTTTTAGACCCATATTAGTGATCCTCAGTGTGCTGGTGACATTCTCCTTTTGGTTATGTAACCCATGACAAAAAGGGACATCCCCTCCGCTGCACTTTAAGTGACAATCGGTTAGAGCCAGAAACAGGAATTCTTACTACTTTCATCTTGGAATTCACCAATTAGCTGTGCTATGCCGTTAGGAACACTGTATCTGTGAGCTTGGGAATTTGATTTCTTCTTAAGTGGGTCTCCTGCAGGAAAACTACTTGGCCCTTCCTTTTCCTGCACATCAGGCAACATAATTCTATGTTTTCTAGGAATGTTTAGACCTTTAATAGTAGGGGACAAAATGTTAACATTAGACATGACAGCAGAGCTTACAGGATTTCTCACTCAGCATTGTTGCCAGAAATCCCCCTCCAATGGTCTTTGGTCAGGCTAGAACGTGGGGAGAGACTTTCCCTGTTGGTGTGCTGCTGAGAAGACTATGAGCGGCAATGATGTAGAAAGATGGTGATTCAGCAGGTCATGTTGTGGTCTGACGCGTTTTTGACCCGGAATCAACAGCTCCAGTTCCTATTTGCTGTGGGGCAAGCAGTTATGGGGTGATGGCAAGGTTGGGTGGAAGGCTCCATGATGCGTTTCTCTTTTTCTGTTTTTGAATAGCTGCATTCGAAGGAAATATGCTGTAGAATTGCTGGTAAGCAAGGGTTTGCTGCAAATACTTAGGAAAACGCTTGTCACGCCATTGTGCAACCAGTTAAGTCATAATTTCCTAATGCTACCATAGCAGTAATTTGCAAACATGATGTGTTGCAGTGTACTTTAATGCCACATTTTCCCTCCTTGAAGGGTGTTTAGTGTACATATTTCACATATGATAGTCTCTGCATTCTATTTGCCTCCTTTGGGGAGAAATTACTATTCATGACCCCCTTCTCCTGATATGTGATGTTGAGATTAAGCTTTCTGTACCAGCAATAATTCTTTGAGTTAAAAGAATAGATGTTGGTGGGAAGGGAGTTGGGCATATCAAACTCACATCCTCTAACATTTTATGGGAATCTGGATAGAGATAGGGATGCTGCCTTTGCTGTTGTGTTTTTAAGATGCAGGCTGTGGGGCTACATGAACATGCATGCAAGGTAGGAGTTCATACTGCACTGGAACATACTGCACTCATGTGAACTAGGGCCATTGGAATCCATGTTAAAACTGTCCATGCATTTCTGATTCAGAAATGAAACTCACTGGATTACATCTGGTGTGAACCAGCCCTCAGATGTCAGTGGCTTTATACTTCTCACCCTAAAGCTGGCCATAGATGGTTCGAATTTCGGCAGGATCAGCATGGCCGAGATTCGAACCATCTATGGGCTGGCTGATTCTACCCAGTTCAATTGTATGACTTGGGTACAACCAGCTTGTCGGATATTTGGCATATGATTACTGTCTGCCTTTGTCTCACTGTGCAACTGAACTTCTTTAAAGGCTATTGTGACGATCGCGCGTCAGACCCCTGCCCCTCTCACCAAACTCGTGACCGAAGGACTGGCCAATCTAAAACTGCGATGTCACGTGCGCAACAATGCCACGCCCAACTGCACAATGATTTTCCAGCTAATGAACCAGAAATCGATGTACCGGCAGCCTAGGAGCGATTGTTACTGGGTCAGGTTAATGACGCAATTACCCTTCACACTGCCACCACCTCCTTTTTGTACAGAGAGGAAACTCGGCAATATCAGCAGTAACACTATGATGGTTGAGATAATTGTCTGTATAGCACTGTCACCGCAGACAGAGGGTTAAACAAACACAGTAGCACTCTTTTAGAGAGGCAGGAATTCGTAAGTTGCATTAACGAACTATAGAAACCGTTCAACACTTTCAGAAAGAAAGATTTATTACTAAAAGGTCAAAAGGGTGCAATAAAATTATTTACAGAAAAAAGATGTAGCCAATATATATATATAAATATACAGAGAACAACAGCACAGCAAAGAGGTAACAGAAAGGAGGGTTAAAGTACTTGCCAATCAGCCTGAGGTTAAGCAGATCAAGTTTCAGAGCAAAAGGGCACATCTCACAAGTTGGTCTGATGTTAGACGGGAGAATTCTTCAACTTCACTCTAAGGCCTGACAGCCTATTTTATAGTCCCCCAGCAGGGGGTGTCTCTGAAGCCAAGGACCAATGCCTCGTTTTGGGGAGGATTGTCTGGGTGGAGACCTAAACTAGAACCAAAATCTCTCGTAGTTCATATTTTGGCTCATAACTTTTCCTAGGCACAAGTACCATTCCACCCGCGGGTAGATTAATTTGCAGACGCCTCTGAGGAACGGTTAGATATGAAATACATACTGGAAGGGTTCAAGAGATGTGATTTTCTGCTTTCCTAGGTATTCCAGTCAGGGAGTGTGACCTATCAAACGATTTGTCTGATCGTGACCAATCCGAAGATATACCTGGTTTTTATATAAGTCTCTCATATTCCAAGATATGAGACAGAGGGGAAAAATGGATTTTAAAAGTGTTATCTAGTTCCTTACTCCTCGGGAATGTCTTTGAACTCAGGGGAAGGCTTGGCTTATCTTTTTACGAGGCCAGATTACTCAGCTTCCCAGCCCGCCCGGCACCCAGCTCAAAAATGGTTTATAGCTCGGAGCTCCCTGCTGTGCCCTGGCCAGCCTGTGACACTTCCAACACACACACACCGACCATATGTCACTGTGACTCTCAGAGAGGGAGAAAAATGGGACAACATGGAGAATGCTTAACAAAATGGTTGAACCGCGTCCATCTCTGCTTGCTACAGCTATGTTCAGCCATGCTAATCTAAATGTGACAGCTGGTGGGGGTGGGGATTGTGGAATGCTAGAACCAGTTACATGTTATACCCTAAATACAGGTGTCATGTTGTAATGGTAAAATCAAAATTGAGGTGTATGCAGTAAACAAAAATGAAGGTATTATATTGTGAATATGCTAATTACTGTATCTTTTCATTTGCTATGTTGATTTTAACAAATCTTTATTTTTATCATTTTAGCCGAGGTTTGAATCCACCCCACAGAGTGAAGTCAATTTCTATGACCACATTTACACAACAAGAAATAGAATTCCTTCAGAAACATGGCAATGAAGTAAGTTTTTAATTTGGATCACTTTTTCTATTCATTGCAAACTGTGTTTAATAATGATGCAGTTACCCCTGTACCTAGTGTTTAATTTGTATCTAGCCAGCAGATTACATGGGATATTGGTTTTCAAAGCACGGAGATTATTATTTCATTTTGATATTTATGCATTTAAATAACATTAGTAAAAAACACAGAAAAAATGTGCCATAGAGAAAAAAGGAGGAAAAAACCTTACAGGTTTGTTGTTCTGTTCCCCTAACCTACTTCTTTAAAAACCTCACCCCTGTGTTTCATGCCTCAATAGCAGGAATGATGTGAGCCTGGTAACTTCATTAGGCTTCCTACTGGCTCACCTCATAAATTAAACCAATATTTTATTATAATAACATATCTCTGTTGTGTTCTGCTCTACCTTATTTTAATACAGTCATTCTAGTGAGAAAAGTAAAACTTTTTAGCCACTTGCCCTCCTGAAGATTTACCCCCCCCCCCCCCCCTTCATGACCAGGCCATTTTTTTGCGTTACGGCACTGCATTACTTTAACTGGTAAGTACGCAGTCATGCACCGCTGCACCCAAATGAAATTTACGTCCTTTTTTCCCCGCGAGTTGAGCTTTTTTTGGGTGGTATTTGATTGCCATTGTGTTTTATTTTTTTCGCTATGGAAAAAAAAAACGTCAATTTGGAGAAAACAATATTTTGCTTTGACTTTTTGCTATTAAACATGTCCAGTAAAAAAAAATTGAAAAAATCAAATCTCCTCATAAATTTACGCCAAAATGTATTCTGCTACATGTCTTTGCTAAAAAAAAATCCCAATACGTGTAAATTAATTGTGTTACGTTAAAGTTTTTTATAGCGTTTACAAATGGCAGTATAGATATTGGAAATTTTTTTTTTTTAATCGTAATCGCGGCGATCAGCGACTTATAGCAGGACTGCAGCGGGCATTCTGACACTGGGGGGAACTGCCTTGGTGTCACTGACATCCCTAGTGACACCAGTACATTGATCAATGCTAAAAAAAAAAGCACTGACGCTGTACTAATGGCACTGGGCAGGAAGGGGTTAACATTTGAGGTGATCAAAGGGTTAAATGTGTGTTGTTTTACTGTGTGCTTTCAACTGTAAGCACACTGCTTTGTATGGCTCTGCAGAGCCATACAGCAGTGTGCAGGAGCTGACAGGGAGTACTGTTTACATACAGTTCTCTCCCCAAGTCGGTAATGCTCGGCGATCGTCGGGTTCCAGGTGAGGCCGCAAATAGCGGCACGGGTAGGGCGCGCACGTGGCTTGCATGACTTGGTGTCACTGACATCCCTAGTGACACCAGTACAGTGATAAATGCTAAAAAAAAAAAGCACTGATGCTGTACTAATGGCACTGGGTAGGAAGGGGGTAACATAAGGGGCGATCAAATAGTTAACTGTGTGCTGGGAGTGTATTACTTGGGGGCGGTGTGTTGGTTCTTCACTGTAAGGTAAGCACACTGCTCTGGATGGCTGTGCTGTGTTATGAGCCGACAGGGAGAAGGACTGTTAGTAAACAAAGCAGTCTTCCCTGTTGGAGATGCTCGGGAATCACTGGGCGCCAGTGGGGAATCATGGCCGGGAACCGGTGATTGACAGCCACAGGCGCAAATGGCGGCGTGTGTAGGGTGCACGCACGCGCCCCCCTACCCGAAATTGCTAAATCACGTATATATTCATGATTTTATGCACCCCTTCCGCCCTGTAGCAGTATATCTGAACAAATATAGATTCCCCCATGTACATGTATGTCCATGTACGACTGTACTCTTGTTATTGTGGTGCAGGGAGCCACAGCTGCAGTGTAATTTTGCCCATTGAGATGCAATACAGAAAAAAAAAAAAAACACTGGCTTTGACACACACATGAAATTATTTTTAAAACCGTTCGAGAGCATTAAATAAGAGTGTTTAAGACATTAGTACACCCTTGATTATTTCCTTTTTCTGCATGCCAAACCAATAGGGTCTAGGATCAGTACTGGTCATATGGGCATATTATGTTGAAATGGCAAGAGCTGAAAAAAACCTGCGATATTCAATAATAATAATGCACCTTTAACATGCCTACAGATAATTGGATTGCACTTTCATATTCTGACAATACCAGCAGCCTGGAAGGTTTCTTTAAAGGCCACTTCTTATTGGGTATTAACTGTAATTATTTCATATGGTTACCCATACCCCCTGTTATGAACTCTAAAGCAGAATAGGAAAATGTGGCTTTTATTTAAGAGAGAAGTATTGACATTTATAGTAAAAAAAAAAATGTATACTCACCTAGGTGGATGCAGCATCGATCCATTGTTGCATCAGTCCCACGTCAGCTCTGTAGTGAAAACTAAGTGATCAAACACTGATGAATGCTCAGTTCTCCCCTCCTCTCTGAGCAGAGAGCGGTGACTGTCTGTCTCCGGCTCTCTGCTCTGCCCCTCCAGCGCTTACTGCAGTGCTGGGCTGTAGAGTAGCTGGCTCAGGTTCTCATCAGATCACTTAAAAGCTGAGCAAGGTGCTGGTCCAGGCTTCTGGGTGGATCCTGACCATATGGTTGGGATCATGCTTAGAGTTGAACCGAAAGAGCAACGTCTGCCAACAGCATACTTTAGCCCGCTGCTGTCTACGAACTGGTCACAGGAGAGGTAGCTTTGGCTATACTTCTCCTTTAAAGCGATACTAAACAGATGTGTTAATTGTCATAATTCATTCACATAAATCATATATGCATCATAAATCTTTATGGAACACCAAATGTTTACTTTTTTTGTGCATTAATATGATGTGGACGGAGTCAAAAGTGATTGATACTAACTTTCAATATGTTTAGATGGCATCTGCATTCAAGGCTATTTTTGTTTACTTTACAGGTATTTGTAATTACATTTGATATATTTAATACTGATTTATATTAAAAGTAAGTAAGCTTCTTTTTTTTTTTTTTTTTTTTTTTTTTTTTTTTTGAGTTTCTTGGAGAATGTAATCAGTCGGCATACTTTATCCTACCCCCATAGTGTTTGCAAATAGGAGGATGTGGAGGAGGAGGAAGAGAGGGGAGTGTCATTTACCACTGTGCATTATGCCCACATATGTGATGCTATAGTCATGTGGGCTGCCCAGATATGAAAAAGGAGGAAATGAAGAGCTTAGAAGGGAACTGAACTATGAGCATGCTCAGTAGAGGACACCAGCTGGTCTACACAATCTCAGGCTGCAGCTGGGACACAGAGAAGATGTGACGGGCAGCTATATTCAACAAGATATATTTCACGCTACGCAAAAGCAATACTTTTTTTTTTTTTTTTTTTTTATTAACCAGCAGGTGATTGGCTGATAGGACCGCCCTGCATCCAATCACCTGCTGGTTAACTTGAAAAGTAACCCACGGCAGCTCCCGCTACTGCACCTTGTTCAATGCTGGGCCTCACCCAATTGATCCAGAAATGTTCTTCTAAGTGGCGTGACCGCGGGTCCAGATGGAACAGTGTCTTGATCCGGATCACGGTCCACTGTTTAGTGATGCCTGTAGTAGACAAACATGAAGAGGACCTTATGAGCTAAACATAAAGTTTTGAGATACTTGTACAGTCACTAGTCACTCACAAGTGTAGTTTGCTTCTTGTTGGATTTGTTCTGGTGCATCTGAGAAATTTTTGTTTGCACCTGTTTTGCTATTTCAGTTGAAGGATATTGATTATGCAGCTAGCTAAATAGTTGCACCTGTTTGTATCACAGCACAGTGAAGTCGCACAATTTCAAAGTCGGGTGAGATGCCGATTTCAGGTGTGATTTGCAAGACATCTGACACAGATGTCTATGCAAATTGCACCAAAAGTAGTACATGTACTACTTTAGAAATCGGTGCGACTCCGACCAAGTTGGAAACGCAATGATTTGTCCGCTCTAATTGCGGACAATAGGGTACGACTTGGCATGTGATTTGTAAGTTGCATGGCATGCCAGTCGCTTGCCAAGTTGCACCCGATGTGACCAGGGTGTAAGTGCACATACTTTGCATATTACATTTTTGTAGGCGATAGGAATAAAGCCTTGTTGTCAACCCCCATATTAGCTTTTTATCAAGCATCCCTGATTGTGCAAATTACCCATTTCAGGAGGATGGAGACTCTGTCGGAGGTTTATACTTATATGGGTGCTACTCCCCCATGCCATAGGACAATGTTGAATCAAAAAGATTCAATAAGGTCCTGTAAGCTTCTACTCCTAATCACAACAGTGGATGTGGACAGATTGAACCCATAAAGCCATTTGTTTGCTCTGGACCATAGCAAACAAATACACACATTTGCTAAAGCCAATACATGGGGTGGATAAGGGCTACAGCAGTCGTTGCTTTTTGATTCCTTCTTGGTTGATGTTTTCTATGTAAATGTTTCAGTTTTTACAAAAAAAAAAAAAAAAAAAAAATCAGTTTGCTGCATTGGATTTACACTTTTATTGGCCAACCTCTGTCAGCTGATTCTGCAGTTTTAGGCCTTATGCACACAGGGTGTTAAAAAAAAACCCAAAACCTCTTCTAGAAGCCTTCCTCCTGGCAGCAGCGTTTTTGCAGAAAAAAAAGCTGTAAACGTATTTAACACTTTACATGTGTCAAGCGCTTAGGTGAATTGGCCAGAATAATAATTTATTCTGGCCATTGAAATTAGCGATCAAGCGCTAAATGTGCCTAGCATTAAGATGCTTTTAGACATGTTCACACGTGTCAAGCGTTTTTTTCTGCCAAAACGCTGCTGCTCCTGGATGCACTGGCCCTGGTTTTTTTTTTTTTTTTTTTTCCTGCTTGTAAGCGCTCTTGCTACTAAAAGCTCCTAAATGTCTAAGTGTGCATCGACACATAGGATAACATGGAGGACCGTTTACAAGCAGTAAAAAAACAAATACCTGACGCCCCTAAAAGTGGCTGCAAAAAGGCCCTGTGTGCATGAGCCCTACTCAGGAATACTGCTATGTGCTTTTTC